GTTTCTTACCATAATTGTACTATTAGTCTTCCTACAGAGCTGGACAGGAGTTTCTGCCAATTAGCAATTAGTCACAAAACAGAAATTGGTTAAGCATCTACCATAGACGTGTTCTTGTTCTCACTATAGCAGGGAGTCAATTTAAAAAGAAACAACCAATTATGTGGTTGGACAGACAGTGGAGTTTTTCTAATTGTATCAGGAGAATTTCCGAAGAAGCTGATTAGCTGCTGGATCAATCATTCTTGATATAAAAAAGCTTTATGTGATGTATGCCTGCCTGCCTGTCTGTCTGTCTGTCTATCAGTTAATATTTTTGTGTACATTTTTGACTCAGTTTTTGATGTCTGCCAATTGCCTGGACAAGTCGCTGCAGATTTCTTGGCAAAGTTTCTCACAAGCTGTTTGCCTTTTCTTGCTTCCCAGGGCTTGGGGAGTGGGAGCGGGGGGCGCTGGGTCAAGGTCACCTCGATGGCTTTGTGCCTAAGGTGAGACTACAACTCTTGGTTTCTAGCCTGATCTTTAACTACCATACCAAACTGGATCTCCTACCAATTAATAACAGGAACGTGGCTCTAAACTCCATTTTCCTCCTAAAAGCTCTGAGATGATTTATGGACAGAGATGCGCACATGCCCCCCCACCCCCCCCCCCCCCCCCCACCCCCCAGTAAAGCAAAGCATGCTGGCATCAAAAAGGATTCCTGGCAATCAGTCTTTCTGAAGCAGCATCTGCTGCTTCTAGGATAAGTCTGTCTCAAATAATGCAAGAGGTTGCAGAGCATGATGAGGTCATCCAGAAGCCACGTCACAAAGATACTGAGCTCCAGGAACTTCAGCAATGTTTCAAATCATGGTTAGCTACACCTACTGGATTTCAGGGCTTGCCCTCCAAACAAATCTCCACAATGCATCTGGATTCTGGGTTTGTTTTGCAGTTGAGCCAAGATCTGTTGAATAGCCATTCCAAAAATTGCAAGATTGGCGCTCTCGTGGGTGGAAACTGTTTTTCCCCAAATGCTCCCTGACTACTTTTAACAGTCTGCAAATTGCCTCATGTAGTAACAACCCACTTACCTCAAAGTTTAAGGAAGCTGGGCTGCAGAATCCCAAGCAAACACTAGATGGGCAGCAGGAATAGAATAGGTAGTCCTCAACGTACAGCCACAACTGAGCCCCAAATTTCTGTTGCTATGTGAAAGAGTTGTTAAGCGAATTCCGCCCCATAGGAGGGCCCTTTCCTACACCACATTTGTTAAGTAAATCACTGCAGTGGTTGTTAGTTACATGGTTGTTACGCGAATCTGACTTCTCCATTGGCTTTACTTGTCAGAAGGTCCCAAAATATGATCACATGATAGCAATAGCAATAGCAGTTAGACTTATATACCGCTTCATAGGGCTTCCAGCCCTCTCTAAGCGGTTTACAGAGTCAGCGTATTGCCCCCACAATTTGGGTCCTCATTTTACCCACCTCGGAAGGATGGAAGGCTGAGTCAACCTTTGAGCCGGTGAGATTTGAACCGCTGAACTGCAGATAGCAGTCAGCTGAAGTGACCTGCAGTACTGCACTCTACCCACTGCGCCACCTCGGCTCTTATTCTCCCCAACTGCAATGAAATTCACAAAAATAGATGATAAAAGATGATGATGATGATGATCAAGAAGATAGACTGGTGATAGATAGATAGATAAATAGATAAATAGATAAATAGATAAATAGATAGATAGATAGATAGATAGATAGATAGATAGATAG